CACGCTTGAGTCCGCGGTCCGTACTCCCGCTTCCGTCGCCGCCCTTCTCAGGTCCCGGCCGGCTCGCTTCCGGCGCCGTGAGTCCCCGGGCCCGAGCTCCGCCCGTCTCGTCCCCTGGGGACCGCCCAGTCTGAATCTGCTCTGGGACCTGCCTTAGACCGCACAGTCACCTGGTGCTGACCTCGTTCCGACCCGGCTACCCTGGGCTTTGTCCTGTCCCTGTGCACAACCGTTCACTTTGTGGCCGCTCGTCCGACAGTGCCTTGGGGTGCCTTGTCCTTTACTCAACCGTCTGGGGGCGTTTCCCAGCAACGCCTGGGGATGCCGTGTCCTGTGTCCCACCGTGGTACGATGACCCGGTCTTGACCGGCCTTGGTACGGCGACCCTGGTACCGACGACCCGGGTCTTGACCGACCTTTGGTACTGACGACCCGGTCTTGTCCCGACCTTGTACGCAACCCCGGTCTGACCTCGACCTTGGTACCGACACCCGGCCAGACCTGCGGCCTTGGTACCGCAACCCGGTCCATGACCTTGTCCTTGGTACCGAACACCGGCATGACTCGGTCTTGGTACGGGACCGGACATGCTCGGGTTTCAACCGAAGACCCCAAGCCCAACGATCGGACCTGAACGCTGAGGAAGAGAATCTAGGAAACCTCCGAGGGCACCGGGAGGTTTTCGGTCTTGTCATGGGCTTCTTGCTAGGACCTGTCCTCGTCCTTTTCTATTCTTCGTCCCGACTGAGGTCTGTCTTGTTTTGCTCTGCATACCACTGTCCATCCCTTAACCTTCCGTCCCCCGATCGTACGGACCCGATCGTCCCGGCCTAGTTGTAACTCTCCTTCAGGTTTTAGGTCAGTCCTTTTGGTGTGATTTGTACCGGGAGACAACGGTGGACACGCGGAGAACGGTCTCGTCGGAGAAAGATTTGACTGTGACCTGCTAGGGGAGGTGGATTGGTATTCGTCGTCATACTTTCCACCTAATCATTGTGGTTACCTAGACGACCCGTGGTAGTGGAACCAATACCAAGGAAGACATCCCACTCCACTTCGTCCGTCCTGGGTTTACGTTAATGTGTCTTTATCCGAGACCCCCACCATGGACTCTGCCTTGCCCCCGGGCCGTCCGCCCGAGACCCCCACCATGGACTCTGCCTTGTCCCCGGGCCGTCCGCCCGAGTCCCCCTTCTCGGCTTCTGACTTGCCCCCGGGCCGTCCGCCTGAGACCCCCACCACGAACTCTGCATTGCCCCCGGGCCGTCCGCCCGTGTCCCCCTTATCGGCTAATGCTGTTCCCCCGGGCCGTCTGCCCGAGTCCCCCTTCTCGGCTTCTGCTGTTCCCCCGGGCCGTCCGCCCGTCTGTCTTTGGTTTCCTGTTTTATTTTGATAAGTGTTCAACCCCTGTCTTGCCTGTTTTTTCTGTCTGTGTTCCATCCTGTCTGATTACCCGATTGTGTTCACCTTGTCCCCCCTGTGTTTTCTCCTCCCTCCTCACCTGTCTCTTGTTTCGTTGATTAGTCTTGTGTGTATTTAAGTTCTGTTTTTGCTGTCTGTCATTGTTGGTTCCTTGTTTGTCTGTGACTGTGTTCACGGGGTAGTGTTCTGTTTGTCACCGTGTTCACCTTGAAATAAAGGTATTTCTGTGTAATCTGCATTTGGGTCCTGCCTGCTTCACTCACCCTAACAGAAACAGTACCCGTTAGCCGGAACTACCCCTAGTGGAAACGCAACAAAAAACGGGCCGGGTTTGGCACGGCACACTTAAACCGTGCTACGCGCTGCAGTGGAAATGCGCCATAAGTGGCTGACTGCTCACAACTGAGCCGGCCAGCTAACCACTCTGGTTTCAGACAGAGGGTGAAAAGAGGTGCAGCACAGGCAGTATGAGAAAAATGAAGACCTTTTTGAACATTAAAGCATGTAAACATGTCACAATAGAGGCACAAATTACAAATATTAAGCTAAAAATGTGTATTTTATAACCTTTTAAAGTTTTCATCGTGTACCCACCTGTAAATTGTGTACTCATTTGGGGCACCTGAGAGAGGGTCACTGCTATTCCTTTTTCCAAAGTTACCAGTCCACAAAACAGTGTCGTTTAAGATCACGATGGCTGACAGTGAGGGAAGGCTGACGGGATTGACGGTCTGTCGAAGCAAAGCATCCACCTGGAAGAGACAGAGCATTCTGTAAAGGTATCCAGTTAAGATATATTTTTGGTTAGCTACTTATTACATTTTTTCAAAAGGAAGAAAGGCTAGTTGTTTCCCCCTGCTTCCATTCTTAATGCTAAGCTAACTGGCTGCTGGTTCAAATACAGACACAAGAGTGGTATTCAGTTTTTCATGTTTACACATTATTTATGATGTGTAAATTATTTAAACACCAAACGATTATTTAAACGCACAATGGGTGTCAAATCAAATCAAGTTTAATTACTGCTACAAAGGGCGTCGGAACACTCAATTCAGTAATCACCGAAAACAATTAGACCTTCAGAATAAAAATAGCCTTACAAAGTGAGACATTTTAAAATGTTGAACTAAATGCTAGAATCTACTGTATAACATGAAAGCTTTAACATGTAATTGTCAACCTACAGCTGTATTTACCACTAATATAGGTATTGGACTTTAGTGTGGCATTGATCACTTTTCTCTCCTTCATATGAAACAATAATACCAAATGAATTTGTCACCACCATCATCAATGGTTCTGTCATTATGTACACTTATATCTAACCTTTCCTGGATATCTAACAACAGTTATTGCCACTGTTCGATAAATGTTCACAAACTTCTCTGCTGGCACAAGCCTTGACGTTTCCTCCTGTTTAATGCTCAGACAGCTGGATGATGCTCCATAATTTATTAAACTATCCCCAGACATGTTGTGAATCACAGTGAATTTAATAACCAAATGTACTTCAATAACTTAAGAAAAGACTCCTAATTAAAGTATCTGCTGTGAAAAGATCTTAATAATTTGATTAAAAGTTCTCTGTAAAGTAATAAGTGTGACATTTCTTTAAGTTACATTATCCAGTAAGATTGGTACAAGTTACATCCTATTGTGTTTGCACATTGTGTTTGGCAGGACAGTTGTGGTGGAAATAAGTGAGTAGGCTACAGCTATTCAAGTATCAAGAATGTACGTTCGTAAAGAACGTATCTCAAATACGTGTATTTTCTACATATCTTTGCCATTTATTGTCTTGCTTATGATAATGATAATAGTCATTTATAAATATCATTTTAGAGCACACATTTGAAATCAGTAGGCGAGGCTGTAATTTCGCCAGCTGTTACTCTCATGAGCGAGGCAGAAAATAGTTTTATCATGCCAAAAAGCTGCTGTGTCGTTTATTGTACCTCAAACATTAAAACAAATCCAGAGTTACGTGTTTCTATACTTCCTCTAAGAACAAAGGACAGTAAAAGAAGATCTCTGTGGCTTGATCAAATGACAGTGTTGATTTCCCCAAAAGTGGGCGGGTCTGTAAAGTGACGTAGATTTTACACTCATATATAAATTCTAACGTAAATTACATGCCAGTGTTTTATCTTTTTATTGATTTGTTTTTATCTTAAATCGTATAATTTCGGACTTTTTTTGCCGTCTGTGAGGAAAAGAAATGGAGCCTCAAAATACTGAAATCTGTATTTTTTAAATTCTTTTTTTCCTTCTAATTTGTCTTTTCTAAATAACACACTGTTATTTACTCAACAATAACACACAATATCCTTGTTTTTATTTATTCGTTTAATTCTATAATCTTGGGCTTTTTAGCATGCTTTTTAGCCGTAAATAAAGTCACCGGAAACAGACGTAGGCCTATTAGGGACATTTCGAGCGATACAGACCACAAAGCCACAAAACAGCGCCATATAGAGGCCCATCACAGTATCATATGAAATATATCTATGATCAGAGGTGGAAGAAGTATTTAGATATTTTACTTGAGTAAAAGTAGCCATACATTAATGTCAAAATACTCTATTACAAGTAAAAGTACAGAAGTATTAGCAGCAACATGTCAAAGTAAGTATAAAAAGTGAACATGTACTAATAGTTTTTGTATTTAATGTTTCTTGTTTAATTTGAAATGTTTTATTTATTTAATTAAAAGCTCGCTTTTGTTTATTTTTAGTTTGGGTCTTGATTTTCTTACCCTGTGACAGTACTAACCGATAAAGAACACAAGGGGTGACACGAATAAAACACGACTCATCGAGACAAGACACAGCTGGAGAGCGCAGGCAGAAACACAAGGGCAGCAGGTGAACACAACCAGACAATCACAAAGGCTTGGAACTAAAATACAGGAAGTAAAACTAGACAGGACACAAAGAGGAAATACATTTCAAAATAAAACAGGAAACATTATACAAAAACTGAGATATTTACTTTCCACCACTGTTCAAATATCAGCTATAGTTGCTTAGTTCTCAAAGTAATAAACAAATAACACAACAACCATGTTTTAAGGTACTACAATTCTATCCATGGGTCAACGTATAGCCCAGTTGGTCGGGCTGGGGGCCCTGGGGCTTAGTCCACGTGCAAAGGGATGGAAACCTGCCTGGGCCCATTTCCCTCTGTCTCCCCCTTTCGATGCTTTCACTTAAAAAGGCAAACAAAAAGAACAGTCCATTGACAACTGACACTTGTGTTACTCCTCACAATAAACCAGTATGGGCTTAGGGTCCTCTGTCTGATGGTTTCAGGTGACTTACTTCCCTCAGAGAGCGAGTCACATCCAAAAGATCAGATGATCTCATCAAAAAAAAAAAATTGGTATCTAAAGGGTTAAAAGTATAAAATTATTCGCAAAAAAGCCAAGATGAGGTAATAAATGAATGTGTAGCAGCGCTGGATTTATCTTGGGAACCCTTTTTTTATACTTTGTTCTGTGCGCTTTTATTATCAGCAACATGAAACCCCAAAGCAATTACTTTGATGTCGCACTATGCCAAACATTATTCCTTTAATGAACACATCATATAAATGATATTGCTATTCTGGAAAACCAGCACTTTTTGTCGGTTTGTGAAACCTGCAGGCGAAACATAATTCATTCTTTAAAACGTATTCAAGATTAGATTTAAAGATTATTTTTGCTTTAAAGGCTGAAGTAAGCATATCTTATATCAAATTCATAAACTTGATCTGTATTTGCAGTTTGTCTGAAACTGTTTGGTTGCTGAGATTTGACTGACTTTTAATCATTCCTCACAGCATATCTTTAATCTCCTTCTGTCAACTGCAGCAGCATTTGGTGTGAAGGATTACGGAGGTCAACCTGTACATTTCCCCAGACTTGAGTGGGCATGACAGAAATCCAACATCAGTTATAGTTCTGAGCATGACGAACAACTCCTCTCACCTTTTCCAGAGCCTCCTTCAGGCTAGGGATAGGATGCTCCAGCTGGAGAGGCTCGGGGAAGCGAGGACACATCATCTCTGACTCGGCATTGCGACCCCTCCCTTCATCTAGGCGGTGGGTGGGAAATGAGAAAATGAAAAGGGAGAAAGAAAGAGCGAATGAATAACAGCGGGACAGGCTTTTGTATTTCCCACTTGAAATTTGATATAATAATGTATCAGCTGAACAAAGGCCAACACATGCATTAGGCTTTGACTGGCTAGTGGGTGAGTTCATTATTCTCCCCGCTTCCTGATGAACCCCGTTGATCTTTCACCATACAATTTGACTGGATTTATTGTATATAACCTGCAGATTTTAAAAAATGCTGCCAGATCCCAGAGTGAATTCTGGATGAATGTATAATATTTAAATATGTTTCATTGTTGCTTAAGGCCACCATTTGCATTCTCAGTCTAAAGCACATATGAAATTGTTATTTGGAATAAAAAAGATCCCTTGGCGATACGTCAGAAAATCATAACCTCATGTTACCTTAATAATCATACACAGTCATATGGAGATTATAAAACTGGACTTTACTTTAGAGAAGTGTTTTTGCTCTGAATTAATTGTATTAAAGAGTCTGATCAGGCGCTTTAATTAAGTTTTAACATAATTAAAACAAATTAATGAACTAAAGCAACGTGACACATTCTGGTGCTGTGTTGGACTAATTATGGATTAAAGGGACTACAATCAAAACCTTTTAAATATAATTGAAACCTACATTTTAAAGAGGATGTATTTTGCTAACTTTTAGGTTCATAGATGTATTTTATGTTTACAAGCTTTAATGTTCAAAAAGGCATTCATATGTTCTCATACTGCCTGTGCTGCAGCACCTCTTTTCACCCTCTGTCCGAAACCAGAGCCCAGTCGGCTCTGATTGGTTAGCTGGTCGGCTCTGTTGTGATTGGTCAACCACTTTGAGATGTCCCGCGCCTTATTCCTTATCATACAGGAAAGGGTAAAACCCCTTCAACTGTGTGATAATATAATGTAGGAGATTGCTTGATGTCCTAATTACAAAGTGTGTATCTACATAATTATGAGAGAATAATCTGTTGATTTTCAATGAACTAACTAAGGTTGTGGGTTGTTGCCAGATTAGTTAAGATTTAGCAAATCTGCAAATTACGATTTAGCGTTACATTTTATAATCAGGATATTGTGTTAAGTTATTGAGCGTCATAGGTTCAATGTTTCAAAGACTTTCTTCTACCAGAATAAGAAATCATGAAATGGAAACTCATTTTAAATAATCTTTTGCTTTTCAGAATAATGCCGCACCTCAACAGATAATTTGATGTTTAAAGATGAGTTAAGATAACAATTTCTCAGCTTTAAGAAATTCCTCTCACACATCCTGTTACTAACTACAGTGCCTCACCTGGCAGAAGTTTTGGCATCTGATATTGCCAGAAGAAGCATCCTGTCATCACCAGGGACAGCACGATGAAGAAGGCCAAACCCAGATCGCTCCATTTCACCTTCATCTTGCTTGTTTTAGTGAGTCCTTCAAATTTAACAGAAGCAGGAGCAGGGACAGGGACAGGGTCGGGGTCAGGGTCAGCAGCAGGAGGAGGAGAGGGAGGCTGGAATGCAGAGGGACGGGAACACAAACACACAACAACACATGAGAGAATGTTTGAAGAACAAATGCAGATTATACACGATAAATGTTCCCTAAATTCTCCTCCATGCTATGAGTTAGTTTAGTTTAGTTGAGTCATTATATCCTTAACGCCTAGTTCCCTTTGAACAAGTGATCCCTGTAGCACTTAGCGGTACTTACCACCTGATGCTTCAAAGGCCAGAGCAGGAAGTACTGGATTACCAGGGACACAGAGATCTTCTTTATCACAAAATTACCATCCTCAACATCTACTCATAGTAAATTCTTCCATGTAAGTGTGTCGCACTCCCCAAAGGCAGTAAATGGTGTCCCACAGAAGTTTTCCTGAGCAGGAGAAAGGCACAGACATGAACTCCCATCTCTGATTTCTCACTGACTGTGCTGTAATCCTGGGCCGTCGGCACTCCCGTTCCTCACAATTCAATTTCCTCTGCTGCAGCCACAGGCTGTTGACATCATAATCCCCAGATTTACTCAACCAAAGCGGCGGGGGGAAGTCTTAATCCCTAATCCCTGTGAATCAATTCACTTCAGTCCAGCCTTAGCCCTGTGGAGCCGGCCACCGAGGCACACGAGCCGACAAAGATGGCACCCACTCAGTCAACACAGGTCCAAATGGGGTGACACGGTGCGCCTTTTAGCGTCTGAATGAGATGAAAACTCAACGAGGTCACTTGGGTGCAGCAAATTTGGATCAACTGGGAGAGGGAATGACAGACACTTTGTGATGTTGATGGTGATTTAGAAAATGACAGAGGATGTGTTGTAGTGCTGTCAACAACTTATTTGGCCACTGCTGCCTACAGAGTGCACAAAAAGACAAGAGAGTCCAAGAGCGTGTGGTTTGGTGACATTTTACATTTAGAAACACAGGCAGAGCAAGAACAGTATTCTGCTTACTAGCAAACAATGTATATGTTTACTTTAGAAAATGCGAGAAAGGTCTTTTACTATGCAAAAAGGAAGAGTTGAAGGAACATAAACACTGTGTTTGTGGTCCTCAGAGCTGCAAATATTCTTTGACTACCAATTCACGAGTAAGCCATATAATGTCAGTGTAAATTAGTGGCAGCCAATAGTGAAATCACACAAAGCATGACAGTCTTAAAATTCAGATTTAAGGTGAGAAAAGAAGTGGAAAGGCTTAAGGTGAATGAACTAGGTACATGAGCAGGAACACTTTAAAAGGATAAATATTGAAGTGAGGTGAATTTAACTTAATTCATTGAATTCACTTGACTAAGTCCTGTTTTGTGGATATAAGATCAAAATAAATATTTTTTTTCGCCACAAAAAGACAGAGCAGGAGGGAATCTGGTCATTTAATCCATAAATGTTCTTTCAATTAAATGACGCCATGACTATCAGGATTTAAAATGATATTACAGTAAACTTATTGAATATAATATTTATACTTCTATTTACTTCTAGTGGGAAGCTTAAATATAATAAATTAAACCCTCTCTAGAAAATCTTGGCAATAGATAGCATTTATAGCCATCAGAAGGTACATCCTGATCGTTCTTTCACTTTGCTTAATCACAAGATATTAATGGTCCGTCCAAAGCTCGGGAATGTATTTTGATGATTACAGTATGGATATCATGTTGCGATGTGGGGAAATCAAGTGTGAATGCAATCTGCGGCTGATCCTGATTGCATAACCAGTGATAGCTGGAGAGCATTTCAGCTGGCACACACACCCAAACACACTCATCCTCCCCGCAGTTTAATGTGTTTTCAGTTGAATACATTGTACATCCTGCTTGTGTGTGTCTGTGTGGGTTTGACTTTGGCTTGTGTGTGTGTCTGTCTGTCTGTCTGTCTGTCTGTCTGTCTGTCTGTCTGTCTGTCTGTCTGTCTGTCTGTCTGTGTGTGTGTGTGTGTGTGTGTGTGTGTGTGTGTGTGTGTGTGTGTGTGTGTGTGTGTGTGTGTGTGTGTGTGTGTGTGTGTGTGTGTGAGAAAGGTAGTGAGCTTTTACCTGGTCTGGAACCCCATCCTCTGAGGTCTCTCTCAGGACTTTACTCCCCGCCTTACCCATGGTTTTGCTGCACAAACTGTTAACATAAAAAAAGAGGGTTATAGCTTGCCATAGTGATAGTTTATGCGCAGAACTTGCATTCTTAGCCGCGGTTCGAGACTCTAAGATAGCAGTTAGTGTCATAAAATGTTGTGCAACGGATAACATGTGATGGGATTACGTAATATGGACACACTAGGTTACTGTATTCCCGTACAGTTACTTGAACAAAAGACGTAATCAGATTACTGTTACCTTTCCTAAAATTGAGGATATTAAAACTGTAAAACGAGCAGATCTTATTTCTTGTTTCTTTACTGTTCTGTATAGGCTAATACTTTAAGAGTGAATCAATGCGCGTACTGCCTGAGTTTGCTTTATGGTTTTTACTTTCTTTGGTTCATTTGTTATTTGTTTTATTCAGTAGGGGAACCTATATGTTCATCATATAGTATGTGTGAATTGAACAGTATTTATAAAACCAAAACAGAGCATTTTCTGTCAGCTCAGATTTGATTTCTGCTTTTTAAACTGTTCTATGTGCTCATATGCTTCATTGTTGGTGTATAGGCTACTGCCTGAATATACTGAAAGGTAAGTTTTCCTATAAATAAAATCTCTGAATAGAAGACACAATTCTGATACTTAATATCTTCAGTTCTTCTTTTCTTAGGTCACATTGTTCCGTTGTCTTCCGTAATACACTCAAGATAAATATTTACAGGTAACGAGTAATTGTACTGGAATACATTTTTTAAAGAAACCCTCCCTGCCCTGGCAGTCTGTGCTGCTGCTCTCAGAGGATCCACAGATATCAAAGGTGACAGCAGTAGGAGCTGACAGGATGATTGTGTGGCACTTTTCATATTGCTGGAGCACACTGCTTTGATAATAAGATGACAAAATGACTAAAAACATTGCAAGACTCATTGTGAACTCAAAACAACTAAACACTGTATTGGGGTACCAAGCTTTGTAATACTTATCCCTAAAATTAATATTACTTTTATGCTACAAAAGACAGTAAGAATATGCAGTGTTGGAAAGTACATTTACTCAAGTAATGTAATTAAATACAATTTAGAGGTACGTTTACATCATTTTATTGTTTTCCTTTCTTGCTACTTCATACTTCTACTCCACTAAAGGGCACAATATTTTTACTCCACTACATATATTTGATTACTTTAGTTACCTTGACATGTCAGGTTAATAGAAACATAATGTAGTCTACAAATAATAGATAGTCTAAAACATTTTCCTTAACCTAACCATGTACCAACTTCAGTTAAAAATATTGTTAGCCTGTGGCAGAAGCTGACACGTGTAGCTACTGTAAAGATGCATATAGGAAAAACCAACGTAACTTTTTTAAAACATCATACCAACTTTGATATGAGGAAACATTGATTATGTGTGGCTGGTTTTAATCTTAATTAAAAAATGAGAACACACTTGTTAACATAAATCTTCCTAAGCTTCATTTTCTTTTTTTCAAAAGATAACGGGATAGTTTTTTCTTGTTTCCTCTAAAATGCCTATTTGTTGTTCCCAAGTCTTGTATTTTTTACACTCAGACTACAATGAAGTAAAAGTCTATATATTTTTAGTACCTGATTCATACAATTCTATTAATTATAAAGTGCCAGCAACTATACAGTAAATAACTTTGGCAGCACACAACTATAGATTAGCTTGATGATGTATTTTTACATGCATGAACACATGAATTGTGTTTTCAGGCTAAAACGATCTATCACAGCATGTTTTCATTAAGCAGCTCTCTTTCTGCCTGTCAGCCCTTAAAGCACCTTAAAACATTAGAGTATTAAAAAAATGTCAGCAAACGGAACTTGTATTGAAAACTTTGCTCAAGCTTTAAACTGCATGCACATTTAGCTAAGTTTAACCAAGTATCTCATTGTATAAACTTTGCAGTTATGATGTTTAATATATTCGAAGGAGTCTCTGAGTCATTTGAATCATTTACCAAGGTCTCTACTGCTTTTCCTTTAAATATAAAGCCCTTTTCTACCACATGAAGTTGCTTCTGCTGCCTTTGACAAACTCAACATGTCTACATGTGGAGTGAATTCCATAATTCAACATTGTTTTCATTGACATCAAAAAAAAATCTACCGTCATCATTTCTTAACTGACATTCAACGATTTTCTGTCGTTGAATGGCAAGTTGAAGGCCTGCTCATTCAAGGACTCAGAATAACACTTTTCTAAGAACTTCAGCTGTTGATGAATGAACCATTGTGTAAGGCAGCAATTATCTTGCTGACCTGATTTCTGGTATTCACACCTGTATACCAAATGCGTAGGAGTAGTTCACATTATGGATAATTCATCTTTACTTATAATTCTACTGCAAAGACACATTGAGAAAAAGCTGTAGTGTGCCCTACATTTCAATTCCTCCCAACCAATTAAAACAACATCAAATATTCAGAACTGAGCTAAAATATGACCTGGCATGCTGGTACTTTTTCAGCCCGCATCGTGTGCCTGCGCTTATGAGCCGATTCTCTGAAAGCAGCTTCTGAAGTGCTGATCAGACTCCTTTACAGTAATGCCATTCGTTTTTGGAAGTGAAGATGCATTTCTATGATGTATCGCAGCGTGTCACACATAAAGTCAGCAGTAATGACAGGTTCTGAGACATTAATTAAGTTAATGTATAGTCCAAGAGTTTGCAGGTCATGAGTCATACAAATTATTAGTTTGCCCCGCCTGAAAGACCATAGCTTTTGGAAAAAGGTGAGATTCTTGGAAACAGATAAAGGGTCTATACAGGCATGCCAGCAGCTCAGTGAGGATGCAGCTTAGACTATATGCACCGCACTGCCGTCACTTAATGGCTGACATCAGCACATCACAAGTGTCTATGTACAGTAGAGATCCATGATGTCATTAATAATAAACATGTTGTTTTTTATCCGTTCAAATGTATTTACTAAATAATATCAGCCATTTTATTGAATGCATTAACTGTACTGTCTTTGCAATTAAGATGCAACATATTAAATAGATCATATACATTATGCATAAAGTGTAACATTATGTTGTACTGATGTAAGTAAAATGTGTTAATTGCTTTACACTATCTTCTTCATTGGCCTTGCTACCATCATTCTGTTGGACATCTTAAAAATATAATTTCATAGATAAATCTAGCATAATAATGACAGGTGGCGTTCCTAATCCTGTCACAAGGTAACTTTTTATATTGAGACAACACAGCATTACATTTTTGCATGCTGCGGACAGAGATTATATTTCTTTGATAAATACTTTTGATATGTGTTACCCTAGATGTTTTTTTTAACTAAAGGTTTATATAAGATTTGCATAGTGCATAACAGCACAACCTTCAAGCTATACTTCCTGCAGTTCAAATTCTGACTTATGTGTTCTCAGTGCTGCTAAACACAACTAAAGTGTTTAATCTTGTTATCAGACGTAGATAAGATGAGACTATAATCAAGCGCGTGTCGACTGATAAGCTTTAACACAAGGGTTGTGATTAGCCATAGCCCTTAATGTCTTCCAGTTTGACAAAAGAAAAGGAAATTAAAAGTAAATTTATCACTCAATTATGCCTTGTCAACATAAAATGTGATTTTCTGCAAAAAATAAGCAATGTAGTGAATTATAAGAGCAACAAGTATTTATTATTATATCAGTATACTGTTCTGTTTTCAGACTGGGTCAAAAATGATTTCCTAAATATGAACCCTATTTGATCTTACCTTGTCAAAAAAACTAATAAACCGACTTGTGAAGATGCTAACAGCCCTCCATATTCAATATGATATCCAGCCTTGTGTTCATGTATAAGACAGGCATATCATTCGTGGATGCGCCACATCACAAGCTTCTAGCATCGAGGCTGTGGAAAAACATGTTACATAACCTGCAATGAATCGAGCGTCTGTTTTTCTAGGCCATGAAACATCCAAAAGTATATGGATTAATTCCATGTACACTTACCTCAGGTTCTGAATCTACTGACAGCGTCTCCCTCCTCTTTTATCCAAACAGAAAGACAATAATATTCCGCTTTTGTCCCGTCTGGGTTTGGGAGCTTGCAGCAGGATCCTGACAGATGTTAGTGTCATGGTTATGTCTAAATCCTGCTTGTATCTAACCCAGCTTCCTGGATTAACTTTCAGCCAATGGCCACATCTGCCATGCCTCAAAAATGGGTGCCCTCTTATGTGTGCAGAGTGTGTTTGGTGTCTATGTGTGTGTGTGTTTCCATTCTATTTTTCTTTTTTTTGCATTTGCATGGCTTTGGCTTTAATAGGACATGTTCACTCAACAAAGCAAAAAGCCTACCGGTGCTTATTGCTGAACTGAATGCAGTTTTGACCAATGATGGGTGTTTTTCACTGTATAGGGTAAATCTGTGAGATTTTCAACCTTTTTGGGGCTCAATTGAGTTACAGACGTATCACCTATAGTTCATGAATCTCTTTCTAAAAGCAGTATATTGTTTTCTTTTAACCTTTTAACCTAGAAGCATCATTTATTGACTCGTGTTTTGGGAGCTTTTATTCTCCGAACCCTCAAAATATTGTTTCGACCGACGCAGAATCAAAATCTCTCTCCCTTGACTGAGTTTCGGATGAGGTCCGGCCTTATTATCTGCAATGTACCCATTCAATGTTAAATGGGAACACGGCACACAGCCACTTGTTGGTCAAATGCATTTAAGTAGAAACTGATGAACACAGATAAGGGTTCAGACAGGTGTGTTTTCTGTGACACACCATTTTGTTCCATTCTTGTATAAAAGGAGCAAACATTTGGATTTCTTCCGCTTTAAAATAATGAATTTCCTTTGGGAACATATGCCAGAGATGGTGAGTCAACAATATACGAAGGCGGCTCATTTCAATGCGTATGGCTGATTGCATAGAGTTGCTGGCTTATTGCAAGCTGCTGCGCTCACCAGGGCTTGTGTTATGCACAAGATCCCTGATGATATGAGAAGGTCTCCTGAATTTAATGTTCACTATAACATGAGCGTTACACAATCCCCTTGCCACACTAATACCTTATCTGGCTGAAAGGTATGTCATTACACAGGGATCAGATCAGAGGTTTTGCAAAGGACTTAGGACTTAAGGATGTAAAGCGGAATATAATTAATTATATCAAATATGCTGAAACGTGTGAAAAAGCGTGTGAGAAATGCAGACGGAAATATTAATATGAAGTGAAAAATGTGACTTTCTCTCTATTTATTCATTGTACATGGCGTTTATATCATATATAATTCAAAGTGTCAGACAGCATGTAAAACTGTGCTATCAATCCATTTCCCTTGCCACCTTCTTCTTAGCAAAAACATCCCATCCACCTCTGATCTCTCCATTTAATTAATTCTATGTTCGTTATATGCTGCATGTATGGTATTATTGCCAACCACTCGTTCCATCATTACAGTAACTGACATCAGTAATCCTTATACTTTAGCATTAAAAGACTTAAGCTTCTGGAAATGGAAAACACAATCTTTTGTTTTCTATCAACAATCAGACACAGCGGTCATGTGCATTAATAAAATGTGCTACACTTCATCTGACCTCTGCAGTGGTACACATGCAAATACATCATGTAGGCAAATCAGGTTCCTGCTAATTTGTGTAAACTCTTGATAAAATGGTGCTTTATATAATTCTTACTTGATAAAACATATATTTTCTAGCAAATGTTACACATATACAAATAAAAAAAAGTAATTCCAGTTTATTTTCCACTTCTACACATGTACACCTCACCTAATACCTTTTTGTATAAGGAGCAGTGCAGCTATTATACAAAGCCAAGTAAGCAGAGTGGTGGTCTGGTGCCTTGCTCAAGGGCACATTGGCAGTGCTCAGGAGGCGTGGCACCTCTCAAAGTACCAGTGGACGCTCCAATTCTGGGACTTGAACCTGCAACTCTTCCAAGCCAAGTTCCTACAGACTGAGCTACAGTGGAGGAAATAAGTATTAGATCCCCTGCAGATTTTGTAAGTTTGCCCACTTCCAAAGAAATGATCAGACTATAATTGTAATGGTAGGTTTATTTTAACAGTGAGGGTGAGGATATCAAAAAGAGAATCCAGAAATGTACATTATATAAAAGATAACAATTGATTTGCATTTAACTGTGGGAAATAAGTATTTGATCCCCTTTGCAAAACATGTCTTATACTTGGTGGAGAAACCCTTGTTGGACACACAGAGGTCAGACGCTTCTTGTAGTTGGTCCCCAGGTCTGTGCACATCTCAGGAAGGATTTTGGTCCACTCCTCCCGAAGCTTCAGCTCGCCCCACAGATGTTCTGTGGGATTAAGGTCCGGAGACCGGCTAGGCCCCTCCATCACCTAAATGTGCTTCTTTAGCCACTCCTGTGTTGCCTTGGCCGTATGTTCAGGGTCATTGTCCTGCTGGAAGACCCCTCCATGACCCATTTTCAGTGTCCTGGCTGAAGGAAGGAGTCCAAGATTTTCACGGTACATGGCCCCGTACATCCTTTCCTCGGTGCAGGAAGTCGTCCTGTCCCCTTAGCAGAGAAACACCCCCAAAGCATAATGTTTCCACCTCCATGTTTGACGGTGTGGATGGTGTTCTGGAGGTTATAGTCAGCATCTCTCTTCCTCCAAACATAGCATGTCAAGTTGATCCCAAAGATCTTGAGTTTGGTCTCATCTGACCACATCATCTTCTCCCAAGCCTTCTCTGAATCATTCAGATGTTCATTGGCCAATTTCAGACGGGTCGTTCATGTTCTTCTTGAGCAGGGGGCCTTGCGGTCGCTGCAGGATTTGATCCATTATGCAGGTGTAGTGTGTTCCCAATAGTTGTCTTGGTGACTGTGGTCCCAGCTGCCTTCATATCATTAACAAGTTCCTCCTGTGTCATTCTTTGTCCTCACCTTTCTCATGATCATCAATCAGAGATCTTAGACAGCTCTTTAGTCTCGCCCATGGTGGAGAGGTTGGAATCTGATTGATTTATTGATTCTGTGGACAGGTGTCTTTTATACAGGTATCGAGTTGATATATTAGCAGTACTTTCTTAAAGGAAATTGACTTATGTAACCGGTCTGTGGGAGCCAGAATTCTTGTTGGCTGCAAGGGGATCAAATACTTTCCCGCAGTTAAATGCAAATCAGTTTTCAATTTCTATATTTTCTTTTTAATATTATTACTCTCACTCTTAAAATAAACCTACCATTAAAATTATAAACTGTTAATTTCTTTGCAAGTGTGTACACTTTCAAAATCTGCAGGGGATTAAATAATTATTGCCTCCACTGTACCTAATCTCTTCCTTAATTGAATGTCATTCTTAAATGGTATGTACCTTAGGCCTTGGGATTCATATGTAAAAGCAATGACATTTATTTGGTTGTTAAATAATTTTGTCAGACATTTTTTCGGATCTGTGACCAGGCAAATAATGAGTTTCTATTAGCTGCTTTTGTTGTGTTTAAGCCACTCATTACGTTCAGCGTATACAACTTAAATACACCTACATATTTAGCCATTTTCACATTTTCTCAACTCATATTGTACAATTCAACTACTGTTCTGCATTTTCACATTTTGACTCTTATTCCTGTGGACTCTTACATTCTGTAGGGATAAATATTTCCTATTAATTATAGGATGTTGTACTTCCAATGTTGAGCATAACTCAACATTGTCGATGACAATGATTACATTTCTGTTATTTTCTAAGAAGAAAAATAATATTTAGGTTATCTACTTGTTTTTAACATTGGATCTGTGTTTAGCTCACTGCTTGCATATCTGTGCACTTACAGAGGAGTGCAGAATAATTCTGTTGACAACAATTTGCTTTACAGGTTATAGCGGTCTCTAGTGGATAGTGCGGAAACTACGACTGACTGTGTGCTATCCTAAGAAATTATATTTACATTTCTAATTATAATAACATTTAACGGGTGGTGGGTGAACCAGCTTCAATGATGCAGATACTTTTTTTAAGTAAAAAAAGAAACATGGAAAGCAGTCTGGTCTGATATTTCTAGATTTCTTTTTAAATGTTCTATTCTAAAAGGTTTGAAAGGATGACTGAGTTGAGGAAGCTTTCATGGCCCGGTCCCTCTGATAACTTTGATGAACTTCAAAGCAAATGTCAGACCCGGTGAGGAGGAATCTGTTTGAATTTGCTCATTATTTCCACTCACTGATTGGTTTCGGTTCCGTTTGTGCTTGGCTTTCAATTCCTCATCTTTGTAAGTGCAATAGACAGATTAAAGGTTCTATATTACGTGAATACATTCAAATGTTAACCTTGGGGAGGGGAAATGTATATAATTTCTAAGGCATATTTCCAATTCCTTTTTTATAAATACAGGCATATAATTAGACCTTATTCACACATGTGATGTAACTCTTTAATCAAAAGTTTGTATCCAGCAATATTTAACCAGATTTTTTCCTTACGTTTTTATATTTTCTGTTTTCAATTAAGATTTCTACATACAAGGAACATTTTGTTTTAATAAAGGGTTGAAAGAAACAAGTACAATTAATTAAAAATTATATTTTCTATTCATCCATGCATCTTGCTTAGTTAAAAAGCAATATACTAATTAAGTCAGTATTAAATATACAGCTAGTCAACACACTGTTAGCTTGACTAAAGACTAGACACAATGAGAAATGGCCAACATTCAGAGGTGCTTGGAGGATCTTTAGTATGTTTAAAGAAGTTTTTGTGTTTAAAGTGAACTATTCCTTTTAGCACATTATTTGTTATCTTTCCTTGTTTAAGCATTTTGTGTCTTTAAGTTGGCAATTTGAATGCATTTCAACCATATGCTTCTATTACAATAAAATAAAATAAATGAGTTGACATTTGAATTTAGAGGCAGATAGATCTGTACATCATCGGCGTAACAATGGAAGGGGATGTTGTGTTTAGTGAGAATTGAACCTAGGGGCAGTATGTACGGTAAAAAGAGGATGGGGCCCAGGATAGAGTCTTGGGGAACACCACAGGTAAGAGGGGCTTTAGCAGAGGAGAAAGCACCTAGCTGCACTGAG